CTAATCAAAACGAAAGCAATACTTCAGTTCTTTTCACTATTATCGTGGATAATGAGTCTCAAGCCAGTGATTTATGGCTGAAATAGAATCATTTTTCCGTATAAATTCCTTTAATCAGGGCTCTTTGCTCCCGCTCAGGGCATTAGCGCAGGGAAAGCTTATGAATTAACTGGGGACATGGTCCCACTTCGTCCTCCATTTGGTATCGGCAACTTCGCTTCAAATTAAATTCCATATGTTGCCTGCCCAGCGTAGAAAAGCATAATTATATCGAGTGCTTTGCAGTTGTTGCAGATGTTGCAGATGTATGTTTATTCAGCATGTTACTTTTTGTTACTATTACTAAGTTCCGCTTATGGTGTTGTTTTTTGCACAAAGGCTAATAAATAGATAGATAAACAGTCGGGCTAATTGGCTTGGCATAGGTTGCTGCAATAGATCGGTTTCCAAACTGAAGTTCTCATTCACAACACTGATTGCATGAGCCCTGACGGATTTCTATCCGTTTAGGTGTTTTTCAGCGGAAAGGCTTCACAGAAGACTCTTGAGATCTAATAAAATTCAGTTGTTGTCTCTCCGTTTGCTCTCTTGTAATACTAAAGAGCTCGCATAGCTACGTATAAGGGAGATTTTTGAAGAGGCAATTGGAAAAATTTTGCCAACTTTTGCCCCGTTTTGCCAATATTAAATTGCTCCGTCAAAAATGAACAACACTAGGACCATTTACTGCCTTGAAGACACATCCTATCTTAGTGATTATAGCAGCAGCAAACATTCCAGTTTTAACTATTGGCGCGACAACTCTATAGCAATCTACCTGGAAGGGGGGGGATGATAAGCAGGTGCCAGCAAAATTCTCAATTGTTCTCGCCACAGGTGTGATAACTTCGCTTCTCGGCTTTGCTTTTTTTCGTCCGCTCTCAAGCTTCTAAATTTCGCTATTGGTTGGATTGGCTGAAATGTCAGAAATGCGCCATGGCATGCCAAGTTCGCTATTCAGATAATGGAAGATGTGCTTCATTGGGTTTTAGGCCAACACTATGGCAACTAGAGGGCAGCCAAAGAACGGATAGCGTGAATGTACTCTTGTGGTACCAGCACGGAGGTGGTGCAGACTCACTGCCGCAGGAACACATACCGGATCATTACTGAAGAGTAGCTTGTTGTTCCGATATCTGACAGAAAATGTGACCCAAGATTGGGAGGTAGAAGTGTGGATGATTCAGCGAAATTAGCCTTTTTTTGGATACGCCTTGCATTTCACTTACGTGCAGATTGAGGGTAGCAGTGATCACATTGAGCGAGTCAAGTCGTTGTGCAACCCATACCTCTATTGTGTTAGACAAGGCTGCTATAAGTCAGCCTGTTCAGGAGGAAATGCTACGTTTGACTGGCTTTGGCGACACTTAGAGGCGGGGGGAAAAAAAATTTGGAAGGGCTGGAGTTCGCGCTTGATGAAGAGCTGAGTTTCGCTTGGACGACGTTTCAAAACAACCCTTCGACTTTCTAAACATTTCCAGCCTTTCGACTGAGGTTCATCTTTAATGCACTACACAAACACGTGTCCGCTGTCCCTTTGCTTCTTCAGTGCTTTTCCATGCCAAATTCCTTTTGACAGATGTCCTTATCGTGTTCAGACAGCATTTTCGTAGATCATACATTTAATATAACGAATCTAAAATGAATAGTTCTACATGCCCCATTCCTGCTGGTTTTCTTGACGAGTCGAAGAATTTGACGATTTGGATATTCGGCGTCTTTTCCGATGGAAGACTTCAATTATAGACAAAAGACCCATTCATTTCAATTTTCAATTCGCTGGGGATTGGCGTGTGTTGCCAGGTGAACGTAGAGGGCAGGTGTATGTGAACTAGTCTTGAGAAGCAGCTGTCTTACTTTCAGACCGCCCTTTTCGTCAAATAGCCGTCTTTTTCTTCCTTCTTGTCGTCTTCGTAATAAATTCACTTATTTCCAGCTTCTCTCTTTTTGAACATTACTTTAGCCAATATTCTTCTTCTATTCGGAGAGGGGAAGTTCAAGGATAGTTCTAGACTTCCTTTCGACTAAATGTTTCGCCGCAGTATTTCCGCTTTAAAGGCCGATATCAGGTTGCTTGAGCGCTAATGAGGCGGAGTAACAGGTGCAATGTTTGGAAATGATTAGTCTGTTGGCTTACACCTTGTCCAACCTCTGAGCGCCGCTCGTATCCAACTCAGTCTCTTTTTGAGATATGAAATTTCTCCTGAATGTGTGGGCCTTTTTCCTACTGTTCAGCGATCAGGCGGAAAAGTCGGAGAAATCGTCTAATTTATGAGAGGCTCGAATTTTGTATCCAGCTTTAGACATAGTTGTTACCAAGCCAAAAAGTGATAAAGCGTTCAGCGTTGGTCAATCTCTTTCTGAAATCCACCACGCACTCTGTTTTCGCACTCTACTTTCTCAAAATGTAGTAGCAGTCGCATTCGGCCTATTTCGGTGTCCAACCAATGTACAAGCCAATGTTTCTATTGTACCCAATTTTGGTACCCATAAACCGAACCTCGAAGGGAGTACAATCACCTGTATCACCTGTCGTCCCGTTGATCGTCGATTTGCTCGAGCGGGCGCCAGCAACGTCTCCATTCGTCCCTGTCGCGTGCTAGAGTGGTCCAGTGGATCCTCCTCGCTCGAGGGACACGAAGTCCTTCATTCCTTTCGTTCAGAGCTTTCGTGAAGAAGTCTGACCATCGGGCCGGCGGTCGTCCAGGTGTTCGTTTGACGTTCCGAGGCGGTGCAATACTCACCCTAATTGTTCAAAGGAATTACAAAAACGCGGATTTGAGTTTTTTTTTCCTTTTTTCGTTATATCTCCATCCTTCTTCGAATTTTTTTGAAATGAATCCGTACCGTTCGACTCCTCTCATCGACCTCTACAAGATTCTGTTCTGAACGTCTGAAAAATCATGATTTTCATGTTCCCTTCCCATCGAAGTACCTAAGGTGACTTGACAGCGAGCCATGCTAGCTATAATTATGACTAATTGACCTGAACAGACTCGATCTGGGAGTTTATCCCCAGACCGTGCGTAAGGGAACTGACGCCATCTGCCAGGAGACGATCAGTTCTCCAACTGGGCTCAGGTCACCAGAGTTACGCGTTAATCAAAGCTTAAGGTTAATTTTGGTCTGAGCTTTTTCTTACCATTAGGCTCATGCTTGCACACTGGCTCATGTTTGGTACTTGGGCGTAAGCTTAGTCCTGGGCTTGCTTTGAGCAAACGTGTGGTGTTTCAGTTTTAGATAACCTGACCTGAGCACGAGAACTGCAACGCACTCCTAATCAAAGATTTATGGGAAAACTATTGAAAGGGCTGTGATTTTGAGAAGACTTTGAATGCTACCGTATTAATTTCTTTTTGAGAATGAATCTCGAAGTTTTTTTTTGAAGTCTTTTTCTCCTGCTTGCCAGGAAACTTCAGTTATGCATGAGACGATCTTTTCCCTAACCTTCCAGTGTCGGAATTGCAAAACTTACTCCAAAATCTACTTTGGAATGTATTGTGCACTTTGTGGCCAACGGAGGCCGCTCCTAGCGCCCTAAAAAGACTTTCTTCTGAGTCAAAGCATTTCGTCGCCGTTGATTTGCACATTTCTGGAATGTTTTGTTGATTGGATTATTTGATTTTTAAGGAGTCCAGAGTTTAGGCTCCGTTAGGCCTCGTCAAGATGCCTCTAAGGCCCTCGAAGGAATACCAAATCTGGAGCTTCCAATACGTCGGCTGTTTGCATTCCTCTCAATTTTCGTCGAAGCAAAAGCGCGAGCACAGTCGTGAGGAGGGAGTGGGGAGGCTCAATTCATGCGTTTCCTGTTTTTCATCGAACGTAATAAGAAACATAATTGAGCGCGAGTTCATTGCGGTGAGTAATGGCGATGAGACCCGTCGATTCTCCCACCCAGCCTCCTCCCCATCTCCTTCCCCGGTACGTACCCCACAATAAACCCTTCTTCTGCTGATCATTTGTTTAATGCAATCCAGTGTGTCGGTGGGTCTCCTCATTAGCGTCAGCATCAGTGCAAGAATTCCTACAAAAATGTCTAAATTGAGTTTTGGAACAAGAGTGCCCATGTGGCGAGTGCACTAAATGCCGTCCGTCGTCATTTTCCAGAATTGCCTCCCTTTCCGTCGTCGTTTTCCTCCACATATCTCTGTGTTGTTCTAGACGAGGTTGACGATTCCCTGATAATTAAAACCGCCTCCTTCTCAGTCACGGCCAATTACCTTTCAGATTTAACAGTACCGTAGTCTGAAGCAAACGCGGCGTGTTTCTGCCTCTTCATCAAGCAATTCACCGTCTAATCTCCTATTTCCAATCACATCACCTAACCTTCTCCCGCCCTTCTTCACTCTCTCCGCTATTCTTATCTGATATTTCGTGAATTTCTTGGGTATTTTTTCCGGTTACTTGCAAATCCCATTAGCCGACGCTGTTTTCTATGAACAGTAAGAAGCCGAGAGTCATTCATAGAGCGCACATCCGAGCTTTGCGCCGTTGTTGGACTCAATAACATTCCTTGCATTTCTCGAATGTTCCAGATGCCTAACCTTTCCCAGTAGAGCTCGACATTATTATAATTGGGACAGTTTCTGTTCCTGTCAGGTTCGTAAATCCCCTTTTTGCCTCACAGCTCTTCAGTTTTGCCTCAATTCATAAGGCGAAACACAGCCCCCCCCCCACTCTCAGCAACTTTGAGATTTGACATTTCCGTCTCTTCTTTTCATTTTGACGAACAGCCCAGTCCTTTTCATTCTCGGGCTAGCTGAAAACTTCCCAAATCACCAGTTCAGTTGCTCGTTAGACTTCACTTGCACTCATTAGCCACCCGTCTCTGCCAGGTTTCTCTCTGTCGTTTTCTACGTGCGTTTTTAATCACAAATATAAAATTCCAATTAACTATCTAATGAGAACCTTAACAGACCTTCTGACGAATACGAGGAACTACCGCCATACGGGAAGCATTGATGGAGGCACCGCAAAACATGAGTTCCGTGGAGGACGACGAGTTTCTCATGCCGTCCATGATCGACATGGTGCGGATTTTTGCTTCTGGTTCTTAACCCATTCGTGACAATGACATCCACCGGTAGCTGCCAAAGATCCCGCTCGGGCAATGGCATCCGGGTTTCAAATAGAATTTAAAAGTTTTCTTTCATGAAAGAATCTTCGTACCCTCGTTCATCTACGCCAGCATTGGCCAGAGGAAATCTGCGTCTGCTCAAATTTTATTAAAGAAAATCTCCTGCTCTGCTGCTACTGCGTAATCCTGGGCATTCGCGAATGGGCTAACCCCGATTAGGTTGGTTGGGTTTTACGATTCGGAAGCTTCAAAAAGCTCTTCCTAACTGTTCAGAATGAACTCGTACACGTGAGAGTTTCCTAGCATCGCTAAGCTGGGGAGTAAATTTCAATTGAGCTTGGGGATAGCTGCATCAATTGAAGGTAACTGGCTATTGTTCCGTTACGAAACTCATTATAAGCGCGCGAGAAAATCGTCCGGGACTCTATGAGGCTCCGAGTAGCCTTTGGCGATCAACTTGGCCATTGTAAGTAGAGTGAGATATTTTTGACGCTCATAGTAGCTTGATATTAATTGAGATGGTGAGCGAAAGGAGAAATGAGTGTGTCGTCGTGCATAATCCGCACCTAATCTACGATTGAGACTGAGGTGGATGAAACCTGTGAGAGTAGATCTCTGGGGAATAATGATGCTAAACACGGAACGGGTAGAAACAACTGCGGGCCAATCGTTACGGAGAGTCTGATGAGCTCATCTGACAGAGGGAACGTCGCAAACCTTGTTTGTCTTCAGGCCGAGTACGCTACGTGTACTTTAAGAGAGCGACTGCGCCAAATTGCCCACGAAACCTGTGAAAAGATTTGAACTCTTGCGCTACTGATCGCTTCGAGAACGCATTGCGCCTTCAATTTTTATGCTTAAAGGAGGATTGCACGGAAAGAACGAAGGTCGAAGAAGGGAGAAATCGCCTAGTGGGAGAGAGCGGTGAATCTCTTGAGGGTGCGGACAGACACGCAATCGGCATCGAAAGATTTGACCTCTGAGATCTAGCATGGCTCAAAGTTGGCGAGTTCGGCGATCTCCGCCCACCGATCGTCTGATCACTCGCCGTAGTACAATAGGTGGCGAGTGATTAGATAGCTGAGAGAGCGTAGGGTTGAAGAGGGCAAAGCGATGAGAGTCCCATCAATGCTCAAATCAACGGACAAGGAAGGGGTCCCATTTCTCCGGTTCTGGGCCGTTTTTCGTGGTTTCGCTTTCTTTCTGGTACTACTCACCATCTCTACCTCAATTTGGAATGGGTTGCTTTTCCATCGTAAATTCGTCCTTTAATTAACTCCTAGTTACGCACGCAGACCAAGGTTTCAGCTTGAGATAGCCTCTAATCCTGTCTTAATAAAACATTTCTAATAGACAGGCTTCCGGAATCGGGTTTGGAGCACATGACATGACGGACCCTATTGAGTATTTCATTAACTGTGCAATTTCAGTCAAAATACACTCAAGTGCAGGACGTGCTCCCTCCGCCGAACAATGAAGACCTTCATGTGATCATCATGGCTGTTTCGTATCTATTGCTGTTTCTCCTTGGTGAGTTCTCATTTAGCTCTTCGCAAGGAGGGCACAAGATATTACCAGGGTTAAGGTGGCGGCGCAAGATTGCCGAAGCGACCTTGCCGAGCGAGGGCCACGGGTAGGGTAAACTGTCGCTGTCCGTTCCCTGTAACGTTCAAAGAAAGGATTCACATTTGTTCAACCGAAGGAGGATGCTACGCGCAGGGACCAGACAAGTCTAAATTCACAAGGCATACGGAGCTTTGTGAGTTTCGAGCCATGTCTGGTAGCTAAACGAAAATGATTTGAAATGCAGCTTCCACCTCTATCAACAGACAAGTGCGTGGCTCGTTCGGTGTCGTAAGTTGCAGTTGGTGACTACAAAGCTTTTCATATTTCAGCGAGCATGACTCTTTTAAATGAAACCCGAGACGTTTCAGACCAAGTCAAAGGGCAAGTAAGTGCAATAGATCGACTGACTGAATTTCAGAGAACCTTAAATTTCAAAGCTCGCGCGAGAAAAGCGCAACGGAGGTTTTTTCTGAACCAGTACTGTTCCACAAAAAACGTTTAAACTAGGCGGAAAGCTGCAGCTCTGGCTGCTTTGTTCACCTGGTTTCTTTTTAACTATGAAGATATGCGGAAAAATGAAATTAAAGAAAGGTGAGGACTGAAAGCGTAAGGAAAGCTCGCGTGCTTCAAAATCGACCTCAAAGAGTACAATGGGACCATTTCTTGAACGAGTAATTTTCAGAGCACGTTCTGAACCTTTTCGTAACCCCCTCTTTCTGGCTATCGTTTAGCCTCGGTGATTGCAAGAGTTGATCACGAAGGGCTAGGAAGCACTGGACGTGAGGAGTAGTGCATAAAACAGCACAACGGTGCAAATTTTTGAGGAACTGGGCATTTAAGAGAGCTATAATTCTGAAAAGATAGCGGATTACCAGAGTGTTCTTCCATGTTCCCCACTTCTTCTTCATTCATCGCACAAGACCACACAGGAAGGAAGGAAGTTTTGACATCTTGTACAATTGAGAAAATGCCCATTTCTTGGGAAGGTTCATTTTTTCTCATTAACAAAGAAAGCTTTAGAGAGCTTCAGGAAACTTTTCCAAAAGCAGAACTTTCTGAAGCTCTTAAAAACACTTTTTTGGGACGCTAATTGTGAAAGAAGTAAAGTCCGTTTTGAAAATTGAAAGTTCATGTCCCATTTTTTTCTGCCGTCTGAAAATGACATACCGCTTTCCACCGCAAAGCGTAACGCGAGCATAGCACAGGGTAATTACTTTTTGAACATAAAGCACAAAATCCTCACAATATGTGCTTCACTAGTCCAGGGATCGTGCCAGAAATCCGTGAGAAGCGGGCTCGAAGGGGGGGAGGGAAGCGGCGTAAAAGTTTTCAAATTCACCACGATTCGTAGACCCTCATTATTCGGTGAAGCACAATTTTTATTCAAGTTCGTCATTGTTTTTTTTCATCGAAAACCCAGATTACTGTAGCGATTTTAGTGCACATATGCTGGCATATACAGTAAGAATCCTAGAGGCGTTTTGCACTGCTGTAGAATATTCTCAAATACTTCAAAAAGCAGCCAGAAATTAGCGGCATTTTGCCCCATTCGGAAGAGATCTATGGAAGATTCTTTTTAGTTCAAGTAATATGGTGTGGTGAACGATCCTAAATTTTTGACAGTGTTTCAAGATTCTTCCAAAAAACTGGATAAAAATTCTTAACGGATCTTTCCAGGATGACCCACCTATGCCATCCGATCCCCATCTCAAACAAGTTGAAGGCGCAGTTAGCGATGAAAAGGCAGCAAATCAGAAATAAAGGTAGAGGTGGTCAGTGGGGCAGGGCTGAAGAAAAGACAATGAGAAACGGCCCATAACCCAATGAATTCGACCCCCCCTTTACCTCAGAATTGTTCTGTCCCGAAGTCTCATGTTGATCTAAATGTGCAATAAACAATGTGAGACTCCAAATATTTATTGCAAAAGTCTAATCTTTTGTCATAAAGTCAAAGTCTTCTGCAATAAATATTTAGAGTCTCGCATTGTTTATTACACATTTAAACCATCCTTTACCATTGATTTGATGCGACCTCTTATCGGTGCTACCCTCTTCAACGCTAACGCTCTCTCTGCTAAACGGCAAGAGTCAGACGGCGAGAGGATGGGCGGGCAGCGGCGCGGCTATGGCCCTCCTAGGCTGCTCGGGCATACCCTTCACTCGCGCATCGTGCAGCACCCAGTCCTATCAGGTATTATTCCCCTTCATCGACCCCGACCTTGGCGTACAAATCCTCCTTTAGAGGCGAGCACCACAGAACGAGGCAGCTCTAAACGATGAAATCCCCTATTTCCAGGTACCTGCGGGAATGTGGCCGTACTGACCACCATCTATCATGTAGTACGTTCAAGTCGAGCCACGCTCGACAACACACTCATCTATGTGATCGTGCTCTCCTGCGTCGACTTCGGCGTCTGCCTGAGTCTTCCGTTCACTGTCATCGACCAGGTGAGAGTTTCCGCTTCGTGCGGAAAATGTCAAAAAATTTTGTGCTGTTCAGATTCTCGGATTCTGGATGTTTGGCACGGTGCCATGCAAGTTGCACGCTGTATTCGAGAATTTCGGCAAGATTCTCTCGGCTCTGATTCTCAGTGCGATGTCTTTTCGATCGCTACGCCGGAGTCTGTCATCCACAAAAGAAATTTCTCAGATCGAGGAAATTGGCGATCTCCATTCTTATCGGTTTGTGCTTTTGCCGTCATACAAGTGTTGTTGAGAGTAAAGGAGCCTTGGCGGGGCTCAACTGAGACCCCAGTGTTTTAGTTAAAAACTGGCTGAGTCTTCGGAAATCGTACTCCTTAGGCGTCTAGTTTTAGCATCTATCTATCTATATTTGGTCTCATGGGCTCCAAGTTTCCCCTACAACTTCCTCGATGATCAACTCCATCTAGACGTAACTAGTACGTAACTGTGTAGCACGTGAATACGCCCTTGTTAGGAGCGCTTCAAACCGGGCTTACGTCAGCTCCCAGAACTGCAACGACATATGCAGTGCAGAGCAGCTCGAATTTATTACTTACTATTATATCTTCAAATACTAGTACTTCGAACGTTTTCCATACTTCTTCGTACTTCCCTCAGCTTTTCTCGGTTAGCAGCTGACATGGCGTTTGACGTACAAATGAATCAATATGAATTTTATCGGGCATGAATTGCACCTGCCTAATTGCGTCATCCGCTAAGTAACTCCATCCTTTCTCAATTTCTTCATAAACTTTCATTTGTAAAAAAGCTTTTTTGAAGATTTTCCGTGCCCTCCGCCTCCACACAACACTGTAGTAGTAATAGAAAGGACCCCTTCTAGACAGATACAGCTTTCCAACCAACTTTTTCTAACCTTTTTTCCAACCTTTGGATCAAACTCATGAAAGTTTCCTCATATAAGCTGGACGGTCGTTCTGCTTCTCATGCAATAGGGTTCGCTGCCGTCTACGGACAGAAACCGACAGTGACGTCGATTTCACATAAGCGTGATCCGTGATGGAATCCTGATTCAAATCCCATATGGACCATTAGAACCCCTCGACTATCCAGGGTAGGCTCGTGGTACTTGAATGACTGGAACGCTGCCTTGCATATCACCTTCCTGAAAATTCACTTATGTGCAAACAAGCATTCACACTGCTATTCTTGATGAAAAGAAGGAAGCGCGGACCATCCCAAAAAGGTTTTTGGTCAATGCTGTGCGACTTTATCCTACTGTAGCTCTTGCAGAAACACTTGCAGTCCATACGGTACCTTTGGGAAAGACTCCAAGTCTGAGGTATAGCTTCCCTATTGCAGCTTAGACGAGCAAAAACTAAGGCTGCTGGCTGCGAAGTTCGCACAGTTCTTAGGAGCATGGGAATATTTATTTGAGTGCCTTCCAAACTACTAATTGGCGGACTTACTTCTATGGTCTATATTTTGCGCTAGTGTGTGCAGAGCACGTGGGAAGTTGGGCTGCACATTGGTCTTGTTGATATGGTCACTTCGACATAATGCTGGCACAGTGAACAGGTGGTGTCTTGCCTTCGTTTCCAGATTGTCCAAGCTGGGCAACTCATGCCTTTGCGAATGACAGTAGAAGGCGAAACAGGTGTTTACGTAGCAACCGTTCTGGATAGATCAAAGAAAACCCAGGCAAAAGTCGCATGAATGA